CCCTTTGTACATAGTTATTTCCCAAAATGAAATTACTGCCGTCCTGGTTTATTTCCATGAAGTAAATTCGACTTGGTGCAGCCAGAACATTTAGAAGAATGGATAACCTTTTTCAGAGACAATATTTTCAGAGTCAAACAGCCAAAATATGGGGTTGGGGCCGGGGGGGGGGGAGTAAAAGAGAAAATAAGTGATGTTTAGTACGGTCCGACGCAAAATGGCATTTATCATCTCTCGTCTGCTGGAGCTATCCTGTAGAGTATTCTTTTAATAATAAAGAAAAGTCATATAGAACTAAAAAGACTAACTCAAACGGAAGTAATAGAAGAATTTTGGTATTTTTTTATTTGGTGATATAAGAAGAATTTTTCCTTCATTGAAGCAAGCTTAGAAGGAAGCTAGAATATCATGAAAATGTTTCAAAAATACAAGTACATTTAACTGTGTTCTGCCAAATCCCATTCTACCCTATTCTGTCTCCTCTTGACGTACGTTTTTATGTGCTGTGCTTAGTTAATTGTGGCTGCAAATTCTTTTTCTCTCTCTATATCATAATTTCCCTTGTCCTTGAATCTGGGCTGGTCCTGGAACTGCTTAACTGATAGGGTGCAGTGGAATTAACTTGTGCCCTTTCCAGACCCAGTGTCTCAATAGAACTGGCAGGTTGTGTTTTCTCCCTCTTGAAATACTTCCTCTCAGAACCTGGCCACCATGTGTGATACCCTCAGGCCACATGGACAGGCCACATGTTTGTGTACTGTTGGACAGCCCCAGCTGAGCTCCGACTGCCAGCAGCTGACAGCCATGTGTGGGAGCCACCTTGAACGTTTCAGCCTGGTTGCACCTCACACTGATCGCAGCCCCAACTGATGTCAGTTGGACCAGAAGAACCGCTCAGCTGAGCTCAGTAAATCTACAGATTAGTGAGATAGAATCACTAATCCTTTTAAGCTATTTCAGGGTGATTTTCAGAGCAATACACAACTAACGGAAATAACTTCCTAGGGAAAGTCCTGGGACTGAGACTGCGGGAAGAGCTTTATGAACAGATATTATGTAAATGGCCCATGCTTAATCTTTATAACTTATCAAAATAACCTGGCCAAATTTTAGAAGTCTTCTTTTGGAAACTTTTAAGTTTGTTTACAGATCACATTAAGGTAATAATTCCTATTTCCTTGTTATACATTTTGGTTCTCTTATTCTCCCCCTTGAATTGATATTTAAGAAGAACCTAATCAGCTGCATTCTTTTGATTAAAAAAGAAAAGCTGTATTTTCAGCAGAAATAGCAAGAGTC